AAGTGTGTATAATGTAATAGTTGTCAGTCAATAAACTGGGTTACTCAGTTTGCACTAAAAATAATTTGACGGTGGGCACCAGCAGCGGCTGTTACAAGAAAACATGTCATCTCCTGCACTGCACATTTAGTACTGCTATTATTTATTTAGCATTTAGTGTGGTCATTATGAATATTACTGGAACCAAACCAACATGATAAGTCAAAATATTTGCAAAGTTTTTTTTCAGGCCTGTCGGCTAAAGATTTCCAGAGACTCTTCCAGTGCAATTTCTTGTTTCTTGTTATGCTGAAATTTTTCTCAGCAGAACATTTTCTCAGAACAGTCTTACACTTGGTGTGGAAAGGCTATTAAGGCTACCATATATATTTTTTATGTTCATGTGTGTAACTGGAAAACAATTTCTCTACTTGAAGAATAAAAACCAAACGTGCTTATTTTAGATTTTAGATTAATTATACAAGAACACAGCATGTGAAACTTGATCATGAGTGGCAGCTTTCTAAAAAAAATTCCGACAGCAGAATCCAAATAGGTCTTTGTCATATTTGTATTTGCTCCAATTTCTGTCTGTTTGGTGGTACTTCCTCTTGCTGTTAGTCATGCGTGTATATACATGAATGTGTCTTATGACTCCTATACTCATACTGTTGTCTAGCACATATCTAGACAGTGAATTAAATATAGGAGCATCCCGTGCAGCTGAGATGTCCAGTGATACATGTCCATGTTGCTGCAAGTTAATCAGACGTATAATCATGTCTCCATGAACTATAAGACATTGTTCAATGGAGAGGCCTTGCTAACACAACCGCCAGCACTAACATTATCACAACTGCTATTACAAGTGCAGTCTCTTCATACAGAATTATTTATAATACGTCAATGGTTATTCATGCATATCATTACATATCAGCCTATCATGTTTTTGTGATCTGGACAAATATATATTTATGCCACCTTGAACTTGAAACATGCCAAGGTTTTGCAGGCAGTGAAACTTTAAGATGCTAACATGACATTGTGGTGCAGAGCTATGAACAATAAATGACAGGACTACCTTGTCTTGTATTTATGTAAATTTTAATCTTTATTGGTTCCTTAATTCCCTCATCAGTAGTGGCTATTTTATGCATGTCCTTGCTCTATACAAAACATTGATCCAGCACAGCATGAAGTTTCAGCAATTTGAAGTAAATCAGACAAGCATGTATTATGCTTTCCTGCAGCACTGCAAGGAAACAAAGGAAATTAAGATACCGGTTTGAGTTGTTTAAATCAGACTCCTGTTGTCTCATGTTAGCTTGAGCTTGATGTGATGCTGAAATGAAACAATTTGTATGTTGAACCACGAGTGTGGATTTTGCTCCCCATAATTTATCTTGCCATTGCATTACTGAGGGATATCTTCAGGTGCTAAAAAAACTACGAATGGCCATGAATCCATTTATAAGATGGACAATGACAATGATTTTTCCATCAATATCTAACTAAAACACCTTAAACTCAATAGTATTAAAATCTAATGTAAACTCATTGAATACTGGAAGTAAATGAAGTTCCCCGTAATTCCATTTGCCACTCTGAGATGAAAATATCAAACCTGATGGCGAGTTAGGCCTGTAGAACTAATTTTATTGATAGCGGTAGATGAAGCCACAATTAAGCCACTACAAATACACAAAAATATACTAAATGGCAAAACAAGGTGGGACAATTAAAAAAATAGACATGAATTACCTTGTTATTACTATTGTTATTACTCTTGTTAAAGTTACATGTCATTGTTAGATATCTAGCTAAAAGCTGCTGATAGTGGATTGCAAGTCCACAGTGCACATTTTTTACATTATTTGGCCTGATTGTGATATACTTTTATATTTTGATCTTTCTTGATATATTTGAAATATGACTTTTGGTTTAAATAAATGAATTCTCCAAGATTTTTGTAAATTTCTGCGATGTTTATCATCTTTTTTCATGAGTAGGTTCAGAGTTGT